ATAGAGGCAGGTTTACAACATACAGGAAAATCACACAGTACCAGGAATCATGGCCTAGCCAAATTGATACACACATTTTTGGGGGGACATAATTCAAACCATGACACCAATGCAATACATTTGATTTCCTGACTGCTGCTTCCATGGGTGTTGTTGTGGATAGAAGTAAAATGAAATCCTTGACAACTTCAATATTTTCTCCATTTACCATGATGCTACTTATTGGTCCAGTTGTGAGGACTTGTGTTTTCTTTTTTGAGGTGTAATCCATACCGAAGGCTGTGGTCTTTGATCTTTATCAGTAAGTGCTTCAAGTCCTCTTTGCTTTCAGCAAGCAAGGCTGTGTTATCTGCATATTGCAGTTTGTTAATGAGACTTCCTCCAATCCTGATGCCCTGTTCTTCTTCATATACTACAGCTTCTCGACTTATTCACTCAGCATACAGCTTGAATAGGTATGGTGAAAGGATACAACCCTGACACAAACCTTTCCTGATTTTAAACCACGCAATATCCACTTGTTCTGCCTGAATGACTACCTCTTGGTCTACGTGCAGGTTCCTCATGAACACAATAAGTGTTCTGGAATTCCCATTTTTCTCAATGTTATCCATAATTTGTTACGATCCACACCGTTGAATGCCTTCACATAGTCAATAAAACAAGGTAAATATCTTTCTGGTGTTCTCTGCTTGCAGCCAAGATCCATACGACATCAGCAACGACATTCCACATCCTCCTCTAAATCCGGCTTGAATTTCTGGCAGTTCCCTGTCAATGTACTGCTGCAACAGTTTCTGAATTATCTTCAGTAAAATTTTACTTGTGTGTGATATTAACGATATTTTTCGATAACTTCTGCATTCTGTTGGATCACCTTTCTCTGGAATGGGCACAAGTATGGACCTCTTCCAGTTGGTTGGCCAGGTAGCTGTCTTCCAAATTTCTTGGCATAGATGAGTGAAAATCTCCATTGCTGCATCCATTTGTTGAAACATCTCAATTGGTATTCTGTCAATTCCTGAAGCCTTGCTTTTTGCCAATGCCTTTGTGCAGCTTCCATTTCTTCCTTCAGTACCATTGGTTCTTGATCATATATTACCTCCTGAAATAGCTGCACACTTATTAATTCTTTTTGGTACAATGACTCTGTTTTCCTTTCATCTCCTTTTGATGCTTCCTGCATCATTCAATATTTTACCCATAGACTCCTTCAATATTTCAACTAAAGTCTTGAATTTTTCTTCAGTTGTTTCAGCTTGAGAAATGCCAAGCATGTTCTTCCCTTTTGGTTTCTAACTCCAGGCCTTTGCACATTTCATTATAATATTTTGTACTTTGTTTTCTGGAGCTGTCCTTTGAAATCTTCTGTTCAGATCTTTCACATGATCATTTCTTCCACTCACTTTAGCTACTCCACATTGAAGAGCAAGTTTCAGAGTCTCTTCTGATATCCATTTTGGTCTTTTCTTTCTTTCCTGCTTTTTTAATGACCTTTTGCTTTCCTCATATGATGATGTCCTTGATGTCATTCCATGACTCGTCTGGTCTTCAGTCATTAGTGTTCAACGTGTCGAATTTATTCTTAAGATGGTCTCTAAATTCAGGTGAGATATACTCAAGGTCTTACTTTGGCTCTCGTGGACTTGTTCTAATTTTCTTCAGCTTCAACTTGAACTTGCATACGAGCAACTGACAGTCTGTTCCATAGTTGGCCCTGGGCCTTGTTCTGAATGATAATATTGAGCTTTTTCGCTGTCTCTTTTTACAGATGTAGTCAATTTGATTCCTGTGTATTCCATCAGCGAGGTCCATATGTATAGCTGCCATTTATGTTGTTGAGAAACGGTATTTGCAATGAAGAAATTATTGGTCTTGCAAAATTCTATCATGCGATCATCAGCAACATTTTTATCACCAAGGCCATATTTTTCAACTACCGATCCTTCTTCGTTTCCAACTTTCACAGGCCAATTGCCAATAATTATCAATGCATATTGACTGCACATTTAATCAATTTCAGACTGCAGAAGTTGGTAAAAATCTTCAATTTCTTTATCTTTGGCATTAGTGGTTGGTGGGTAAATTTGAATAATAGTAGTTGTCATGGTTTGAATTATGTCCCCCAAAAAATGTGTGTATCAATTTGGTTGGGCCAGGATTCCCAGAATTGTGTGGTTGGCCTCCATCTTGTGATGGTAATTTTATGTTAAAGAGGATTAAGGTGGGATTGTAATACCACCCTTACCCAGGTCACATCCCTGATCCGATGTAAAGGGAGTTTCCCTGGGATGTAGCCTGCACCACCTTTTATCTCTCAAGAGATAAAAGGAAAAGGAAGCAAGCAGAGAGCTGGTGACCTCATACCATCAAGAAAGCAGTGCCGGGAGCACAGCGCATCCTTTGGACTGGGGTACCTGCGCAGAGAAGCTCCTAGTCCTGGGGAACACCAAAGAGAAGAAGGCTGACAGAGAGAAAAAGCCTTCCCCTGGAGCTGATGCCCTGAATTTGGAATTTTAGCCTACTTTAACTGTGAGGAAATAAACTTCTCTTTGTTAAAGCCATCCACTTGTGGTATTTCTGTTGTAGCAGCAC